ACATTTCCCTGGGATGCTGCTTCAGTCATCAGAGATGCACATGGGAAAGTGCAACGAAAGCAGCGGTTGCCTGAAGAGGTGAGGAAAGAGCAACACAACTAGAACTTGAGGCCACCTCTGTGCACTGGAAAATGAAAGCCCAAAAGCAAAGGGTTTTGGGATGTTGTCTCAGACTCCCTTGAGGAAGGCATCACTCAACACCTTCTCACCAGCTGCTTACAGGCTCTGAACAGAGTCCCATTTCCTTCCACACAGCAAGTCCTCTGCTCACAACTCCAAGGCACATCCTAGGAAGACCTTGGCCCAAAATCCTCTCCTGGAGGTGGAGAACTTGCAACTTCCCTGCCCAGAGGCTTCCTGCACACACCTGGCCTCTTCCACCCTGGAAGCTGCTATTGCTTTAGCCCTCTCAAAAGGAACGTTACTGTTTCTGCCCCAAGGCAAGGTGGTTTTGGCAGGCTTCATCTCAACATGCAATGATAACACGACCTGCCTCCAATTAGAAGTTACAGCAATTATGCAGCAGATCCTTTAACAACACAATTAGGATCTGCTTTTTTTTTTTGCAGCATAGATGAGGAGCACTAGGAGAGGTGTCCTTTGCAGGGGAGCATTTTATGTATTTTTTCATGCAGCTGTCCCTGGTGTTGCGAAGTGCCACTTGTCATTGACTCAGGCTCCACTTGAGCAGACATACATCTCTATTGCTGCCAGGATCTGCTCTAACATTTGCAAGACAGAATTAGCTCCTTTTACTCAAGGATCTGCAAATACTTTGCAAGCATTAACTTGACCCCTTGGAGGAGCCTGAGTGGCTTATCAGCGCCTCCCTTTTACCGTTCAGCTCACCAAGCCTGGGGCTAGGAGCCTAAATGCCCCAATCTGTGTGCTTCCAGGTGACCCAACATATATTCTGGATCTAAAATTGAGCACATTATCCCATTTCTGTTTGAATACCTGAGCTCTCACCCCGCAGCACCTGCTTTATCCTACCCCGGTGATGATGGAAGAAGTCTCCAACGGCCATGGAGGTTTTTGAAGCAAGCTCAAACTAGTAAAATAGGTTAACGTATGAGCACTCATATCGCAGTGTTCCACCATGAGGAACACTGAAATCATATTTAGTCTAGGAATGAGTATAAACAGTTCCAGCTAGATGGGACACCCATAGCGGAGCCAGGAGAACCCACAAGGTCTCGCTACCAAGCTCTGGCAGTTGAAACTGCCAGAAGACGTTTTTCTTAGTAAGTGCCAGAACCAACACCTACTACAACACCCATGGACATCTCTTCTACTGCCTTCGAAAGGCTTAGAAGACAAACCTTGGAGAGGTAGATAGCTGTCACTGGATTAAGGCTGTGAGCAAACTATGCAGGTTTTACCCCAAAGATTTGCCTGGAGCCATCTAGCACCATGAGACAAAACACAAACCTCAGCCACCAGGTTTGCTACAGCCCTTCTTGCTGCTACTGAGCCAGAAGATCCACTCACCCAGGGCTCGTTCTGACTTTATCCCTAGAGGCTCTGAATGTGCAGCTCTCTCTCTGTGAAAAAGCCAAAAATGGGAAAGTTCAGTCCAGCTTTTATTTATGCAGAATAGATTAGGAGGGCAAACATTCCCAGATAACCTCTTCCCTTGTGCTCAGCAGTTTGAAGGTTGTCCCCCATAAGCAGGATGCACATTCTGTACTGAAATCTTTACTTTTGACTAGGTCTCATTAAAAATAAACTTTCTAGGCAGCAGTGCTGATCCGTGGTGATGTGCCCAACAACTCCAGCTCACTCCCCTTTGCCCTCGGGGCAGGATCATGGTTCCAAGGAGAGGGTGGTTGGGGAAGCCCTGGCCGGTCTGGCCCACAGGCACGGGATTTCCCTTTTTTTCATGCAAGGGAATTTTCAAGCTGAAAAGGACAGTAATAGGAAAAGTTTGCCTTTTCTGCCTTGGGAACATCCACCCTTTCCACAGGGGCCCAGCCTGCTCACTTCCTGACAAGCATCTAGGTGTCATTTTGGTCCACAGATGACATCTGCATCCTCTCCAGGCCACAGTTACAACAGGGCAAAGGATAATTCAGGGACCAGACAGCTTCTTTCAGTCATTTTCTTCCCCACATCTGACAAAAACAGAGCACAATTTAAGCACAACTCCCTCCAAACAGCTACAAGAGGCAATTCTTCAGCAGTAGAATTAAAAATTCTCTTTTATTAAGTTCCCAGAGAGAAAATGCTTTTTGGATAGTGACTCCTGCTGGAAGGGTGAAGCCAACACAACTACAGATCAGTGATCTACCACCACCCCTATCCTGAGGGGCTGGAATGGATTGGTATTATCCCCATTAGCAGCACTTTGACACCATCCCCTCCCTAACCACCCTTGGGCGACCTGCTGGATGTGGGACACGCCAGCAAGTCCTTGTGCAACCTCCTAGGCAGGGACTGTGCGTGAAATACTTGGGGATGAGTAGTAGAACAGTTCTCCCTCTCTGTAAGATACCACAAAAGTGTTCCCACACTACAGATACGTGCTCTTGGCTTTGGTTTCGAGGAGCCTGCAATGATGCATCGCATTTCAGTTCAGCACCAGCTGGAGGGCAACCGTCACACTCCCCCGGCTCACAGGCAGGCTGCAGATACACACACATGTCATTGCGACTCTGCTTCCTGCTGGTTTCACCTTCAGATCATCACAGAGGGAAATTAATGCAGTTCACACGCCGAGCAGTCAGCTCTGCCTTGGCAAGACGCGTTGTTCTGCAAGGATCCGTCTCACACTCTCCACAATGGTCCCCACTTCAGCCATGGCACCTAGACCTGGAGGGAAAACCAAACATATCCTGTAATGTCCACGTGCCATGAAGACAGTATGAGCCATGTTTCCCCTGTGCCACCTCATCTGAATCTCTATGGATTTTGTGGCACAACTGGGTGCCACCGACAAGGAGGGCAAAATGAGGCCTCACACTTAGTCTGACTCCTAACTTAGATATCTTAGCAGGAGCACAGGTTCCCCAGACACTGGATGGAGAGAGGCCAGAAACCTCAAACAGCAACTCATATGACCTTAATAAGTATCTCATGCACTGAATCATCTCCCGAGGTGCCCATATCAAAGCCTTGAGTGCGCACGGAGCTAACATCTTAGTTCACACTACTGCTGTGTGTAAAAGTCACCCAAAAAGGTGGTAATGAGATACTCCATTTCCTCCTCCATCTCCAGTGTGAATACACTCACATTGTACATATTCGATATCTTTCTAAAATGGCTTTTGCCTATTCAAAAAGCTTTGCTGATTTCATACCATTCCAACAACTTTGCAGTTAGACCGACCTCAGAGGGAAAGCTGTCCTGACTTTGCACTGCCTTGAATCTTAGGAGTAGTTCTTGGAGAAGATCAAGTGCTGGACAGAACAAAATGTAAAAACTTTCCCTTTTGGATTGGTTGGCTGCCAGGTGAACATCCAGTCTACAGTGAAGCTGTTGCTTCCCTTTCAAGTAATATTCAGAATTCTAAGGCAAATAGAGATCAATAAATCATCTTTTCCAACCTACCGTCACAGAAGCCTGTCTATGCACTCCTCTGATATGCCTGGGAGATACTTCCCCCACCAGGCTCTGGCTCCATTAGAAAATACAAAAGATGGAGTCTATTGATCACAAACGTGTTACTGAGTGTGCAGATGAGGAGTTAAACCAGTAGGCTTGAAAAGAGAGCAGCAGGACAGGGGTGAGACAGAGGATGGGCAATCCTCAACAGCAGGGAGAGGGGCTTTCCACAAGCAGCGAGTGCACTGAATCTCTCTGGGCTCTCCGTTTTCCAGAGCTACCTGAGCTTTGCCTGGGATAGACGGCATGGCTGGTTACAGCCCATGAGCATTTGAGCCCAAGAATGAGGATTTTGGAAGGACAAGGGAATCAAGTCTCTCTCTGCTACAGACCGTCCAGACTCTTAATCCAGGTTTGAAGCATCACACAGACAAAAAGCAGGCAGGTTTGGGCAGCTCTGTCCTTTAATCTTACATGGAACTGCACTTGTCAGGTCCTTCTAAATAACAGAAACCTCTCAACTGATTCCTCACAGCTGGGCAAAACTGCAACCTTTGAGGGCATTTCCAAGCTTTTGTCCTCCACGACCCACCTCAACACCTTTGGCAATTCACAGCTGGATTTGTCAGTTTAGCTGAGCAAGAGCTTGCTAAGCACCCTGTCTTGGAGCACAGATCACGCCTACAGGCAAGAACCTTCCTGTCTGCAAGGCTCCAGAAACCCAGCCAAGGATGACAAAGACACCAACAGTTTGGAAGCATTTTGCAAGGGCAAACTGCTGCAGGCCCAGGTGTGGTATAGAACCTCTCAAAGGTCTCCTTGTATGGTGGCACACAGATATTATCAAGGCCAGCAGCTGCTAGGTTACATTCAGTTATCCAATCAAGGAAGCTTATTTTAATTCCCAACTCAATTTAATTAGTTTTTTTTTTTCTTTTTTTCCCCTCAAGCTGGACATCTCTACATCTAGGAACACTCACCTAGGGAGAAAATATTATCAGGAAAGCTTGTCATCCAGAAACTTGGTGACAGTCAGGATCTGGCCCACTCCAGGTAGGAACAGTGACACAAGCCCTCTTTTAAAGCAATATAAACCACAACATCAACAGTTAAAACTGGTGCAAACTGAATCTTTTTGCTCCTGAGCCAGATGTTTGAGCTTTGCTACCTAGTGCTCGGGTGGAAGCCAAGCAAACCCCTTTGTGGATGAAACCCATGAAACAAAAAATAGCCTGGAAAAAAAAGCCTTGGGGTGAAAGGCCTGAAAAAAAAATGGCTTTGGTTTCGAGGAGCCTGCAATGATGCATCGCATTTCAGTTCAGCACCAGCTGGAGGGCAACCGTCACACTCCCCCGGCTCACAGGCAGGCTGCAGATACACACACATGTCATTGCGACTCTGCTTCCTGCTGGTTTCACCTTCAGATCATCACAGAGGGAAATTAATGCAGTTCACACGCCGAGCAGTCAGCTCTGCCTTGGCAAGACGCGTTGTTCTGCAAGGATCCGTCTCACACTCTCCACAATGGTCCCCACTTCAGCCATGGCACCTAGACCTGGAGGGAAAACCAAACATATCCTGTAATGTCCACGTGCCATGAAGACAGTATGAGCCATGTTTCCCCTGTGCCACCTCATCTGAATCTCTATGGATTTTGTGGCACAACTGGGTGCCACCGACAAGGAGGGCAAAATGAGGCCTCACACTTAGTCTGACTCCTAACTTAGATATCTTAGCAGGAGCACAGGTTCCCCAGACACTGGATGGAGAGAGGCCAGAAACCTCAAACAGCAACTCATATGACCTTAATAAGTATCTCATGCACTGAATCATCTCCCGAGGTGCCCATATCAATGCCTTGAGTGCGCACGGAGCTAACATCTTAGTTCACACTACTGCTGTGTGTAAAAGTCACCCAAAAAGGTGGTAATGAGATACTCCATTTCCTCCTCCATCTCCAGTGTGAATACACTCACATTGTACATATTCGATATCTTTCTAAAATGGCTTTTGCCTATTCAAAAAGCTTTGCTGATTTCATACCATTCCAACAACTTTGCAGTTAGACCGACCTCAGAGGGAAAGCTGTCCTGACTTTGCACTGCCTTGAATCTTAGGAGTAGTTCTTGGAGAAGATCAAGTGCTGGACAGAACAAAATGTAAAAACTTTCCCTTTTGGATTGGTTGGCTGCCAGGTGAACATCCAGTCTACAGTGAAGCTGTTGCTTCCCTTTCAAGTAATATTCAGAATTCTAAGGCAAATAGAGATCAATAAATCATCTTTTCCAACCTACCGTCACAGAAGCCTGTCTATGCACTCCTCTGATATGCCTGGGAGATACTTCCCCCACCAGGCTCTGGCTCCATTAGAAAATACAAAAGATGGAGTCTATTGATCACAAACGTGTTACTGAGTGTGCAGATGAGGAGTTAAACCAGTAGGCTTGAAAAGAGAGCAGCATGACAGGGGTGAGACAGAGGATGGGCAATCCTCAACAGCAGGGAGAGGGGCTTTCCACAAGCAGCGAGTGCACTGAATCTCTCTGGGCTCTCCGTTTTCCAGAGCTACCTGAGCTTTACCTGGGATAGACGGCATGGCTGGTTACAGCCCATGAGCATTTGAGACCAAGAATGAGGATTTTGGAAGGACAAGGGAATCCAGTCTCTCTCTGCTACAGACCGTCCAGACTCTTAATCCAGGTTTGAAGCATCACACAGACAAAAAGCAGGCAGGTTTGGGCAGCTCTGCCCTTTAATCTTACATGGAACTGCACTTGTCAGGTCCTTCTAAATAACAGAAACCTCTCAACTGATTCCTCACAGCTGGGCAAAACTGCAACCTTTGAGGGCATTTCCAAGCTTTTGTCCTCCACGACCCACCTCAACACCTTTGGCAATTCACAGCTGGATTTGTCAGGTTAGCTGAGCAAGAGCTTGCTAAGCACCCTGTCTTGGAGCACAGATCACACCTACAGGCAAGAACCTTCCTGTCTGCAAGGCTCCAGAAACCCAGCCAAGGATGACAAAGACACCAACAGTTTGGAAGCATTTTGCAAGGGCAAACTGCTGCAGGCCCAGGTGTGGTATAGAACCTCTCAAAGGTCTCCTTGTATGGTGGCACACAGATATTATCAAGGCCAGCAGCTGCTAGGTTACATTCAGTTATCCAATCAAGGAAGCTTATTTTAATTCCCAACTCAATTTAATTAGTTTTTTTTTTTCTTTTTTTCCCCTCAAGCTGGACATCTCTACATCTAGGAACACTCACCTAGGGAGAAAATATTATCAGGAAAGCTTGTCATCCAGAAACTTGGTGACAGTCAGGATCTGGCCCGCTCCAGGTAGGAACAGTGACACAAGCAGAGGAAGAAAAACCTCTTTTAAAGCAATATAAACCACAACATCAACAGTTAAAACTGGTGCAAACTGAATCTTTTTGCTCCTGAGCCAGATGTTTGAGCTTTGCTACCTAGTGCTCGGGTGGAAGCCAAGCAAACCCCTTTGTGGATGAAACCCATGAAACAAAAAACAGCCTGGAAAAAAAAGCCTTGGGGTGAAAGGCCTGAAAAAAAAAGCAGGAGAGTGAGGAAGACGTCAGCAAGGGAAGCTGCCTCGAGATGCCTATGTACTCCTGGAAAATCCCAGCAGTTTCCAATAGGAAAATCCTGTTGGGAACTGACTCGCAAACACAAGCAGAGTCAGATGTGGCAACCACCACTCCAGGGATCCCCGTCTTTGAAGCCAACCCGGAGCAGCTCCCACACAACTGCCAGGGCAATGCGGTAACTCCTGATCAACACCGGGTTACTCTGCCATTCTGGCTGCAAACCGCAGCGCTCCACGTGCTCCTTCTCATGTGGCTCACACATCCCTGCCGCAGGGGCGGCAACCCCCAAGAAAGAGGCAGGGCGCAAGAGCAGAAGGTGAAAACCACGTTCACCATCCAACCCCGATGTGTTTGTGCTTGTGAGTCAACACACGGCCCTCCTGCACCTCAGGTCCCCATCTGCGAGAAGGTGACAACCACCCAGCCTTGCCTCAGACACATGAACTTGCAAGGATGAGGCACTCGGATGCTCACTACAGGAACACAGACCTCATACGTGTACTAAAAAAAGACAAAGAAAAAGCAATAAAGAAGATATGCCAGACGGCCTTTCCATATCTGCCAAAACGTCTGCAAGGAATGACCTCTTTTGGGCGTTAACTTTATTAAAAGTATGCAAGAAATTTGATGTAATGAGGACTAAAACCCCAGTCGAAGCAAAGTCGTCCCGGGCATTTTAATAACATCTGATTACTTGACTACGCTCACTCAACTGCAAATATTTCTTAGTCTTCAGCTTCAAAATACACTCTCTAGATGCATTGCCTCTACCTAAGAATACAGGCTCTATGAAAGCCAGCCCTTGAATTTAACCATGAAGAACACTAATTTAGCCATGAAGAACACTTCACTACAGACTGTTTATTGAACTATCCAGCAGAGTGGTTAAAATTATCAAGTGAATATATATATATATATTACTGTGCAGATAACACAGTTGCTATTATGGCTGTGGCATTTTACAGACTTTGCACAAAATAAGTTTATCTGAATAAAAAAGTGAATCCATTCATCTAATTTGCTTCTATGAAAATCCTTCCAAAGGTCTCCCCAAAGTCAAAATAACTTTAAGGCAACTCCCAAAATACAAGTGAGACCATTTTAATAGCACAGCATAACATTGCAAAGTCAAGTTGTTAGAAACAGAGTTCCCTACATCCTCCTCTTTCACTTCACTGAGGAGTCAGATGTCAAAATCCCAAACCAAATTCAGACAGGGAAGCTGATTTAGCTAAAAAGTAACCTGGGTAACAAACAACAACAAATATTAAATGCAGGTCCAGCTACAGCCTTAGCCACATCTGCAAGCATTTAACCTCACAGCAGGCTCCGAGGGATAAGACATTACCCCTGGGTTAGAGATGACGAACTGGAGCATGATGAAAATGGTCCCCATTCACCATGTGAGTAGAGGGCAGGGATACCCAAATCCTGGGCTGATATGCTCCCCCACAAAGCCTGCCTTCTTCTCAGTCTACTCTCTTCTTGAATGGGTTTATTTTTAAATATATGGCCAATCTAATAGCCCAATTGAAAGCCTGGCTTGGATCATCTCATAAAAATAAATAATTAATGAACAAAAAAAATAGAAACCAGCTGGCACAGGGGCAAAGCTTCAGTTTGTTTCTATAAACCTTGGTAATGGAGTTACAGCACCTTCCTTCTGCGGTCCAACATTTTGAAGGGCACGGGCAAGAAAAGGCATATCCCTTTCCTGCAATGGGAGCAATTGTGCAGAAAAGCTGTCAGAAGCCACACAAAAGGACTGACCTTCATCTCCACACACTAGCTTTTTCACCACACAAGGGACCTCAGTGTAGCCAAAGCCCTTGAGCTGCTCCCGGTGCTGAGCTGTGAGCGGATGCTCCCACATGGCTGTGTTCATCGCTGGGCAGAAGAGCAGGGGCTTGCTCAGATCCCAAGCACGGATTACACAGGTCTGCAAAAGAAGCCAAGAGTTTCCGTGCTGCGATGGGGTTGCTTTCCTCATTCCTCCTCATCTCTTTGCTGCATAGAGGTCCTTTCCCAGGCTCAGCATCCCTAGCAGGCCAAAACCCTCCATTTCTCAGTGCAGCTCTGCTAACCCACAAGCAGATCCAAGGGCTGCTACAAATTTGAATAACACCCCAGTCAAGTTTGTTATCTGACGGGGAAGAAAGATGAGGGAAGCTACAAGAAGAGATCCCATCCTTCGCTGTGCAGGAGCCGAGCAGTCAGCCCTAGATCTGATGGGGAAGAAAGATGAGGGAAGCACAAGAAGAAGAGATCCCATCCTTTGTTGTGCAGGAGCCGAGCAGTCAGCCCTAGAATTGGAGCAAACAGACTGACAGCCCACGGGGGAGCCCAAAAGGAGCTGAAATGTGGCCACAGATCGTATCAGTGGCAGCAAAATCCCCAGGCAGTGCTTCGGATAAGCCAGATGTAAAGGAGTTGGCAAGGGAGTCTCTAAGCAATATGCCAATTGGATCCAGCACCCCTCCCTGCAGAAGCACTGCTGCTTCCAAGATACAAAATGAGGAGAGCAGGAACACATTTGGCCCATGATAAAAGATGCTGGCAGATTACAAACCATCCATAAGCTCCTGTGTGCTACAGAGGATCACACCTGACTCTTCCATGATACAGAGCTTCCAAAAAACCTACCATCACTGCATCTCCTTTACAAGAGAAAGGCCAGTTGTTCCTAAACAGTGCAATGTGCAGCACCTTGCCTAGCCCTAACAGGGTCTCAGTCCTGCCAAGGGAGATTCCCAAGTAGCCACAGTTCACATCAGTGCCTGGAACAGAACCTCTGCTCAGTTAATACAGTACTTGGAGGGCACAGACAATACCCTGCCCATCCTTCTCTATGCCCTGTCATTTGAACGCTTTCCAGCGGAGGGAAGGTCTGTGAGAATCTGTTCTGACTGGCACCTCCAACACTTGTTTTCCTTTCCCAAGGTTTATCTCGGCTCCCCACAAAGCTCTCCAAAAAGACCAGCAGAATTTTTGGAGCCACGTGTCACTAACACAGAGAAGTATACTCTTTTAATGCATTTTATGATCAGTCTTTTTGCCAGAGCCACCTTCAATACCGAAAAACATGCCTGAACAAGCAAAAAAACAAAAACAAAACCCAACCAAACAAAAGACACTCTATAGCTGAAAATGGAAGGTAAATAAGTGTGCACATGTTTGAACTTCTGTGCTATGCTGTTAGGTGAGGGAGGAGGTAAGGTAGCAGGAAGTAAACAATTTTATCTGATCTCACAGGTGTCTTTCTGTATCACATAAAGGCAGAGAGGAACTCATGTGCGAGTGTGTGTGTGCATGCATCAGACAGACAGGGTGGAGGCAAAAGGGGAGAAATATCAACCATGAGAAGCAGCAGGAAAAGCAAAGCTCTCGGAGAGCTCCAGGCACTCACCAGCAAGTTGTCACAGATGCCATTGGCCAGCTTGGCCAGCGTGTTGGCATCAAGAGGGGCCACCACCATGAGGTCAGCCCAGCGCCTGAGCTCGATGTGCAGGACCGGGTCCGAGCGGCCTTTCCACAGCTGTGCACGAGACAAGATGGATATTACAGGTTACCAGTGTGTGTTGTGAACAACCTGCACCTTATCATTCCCAAATACATACCACCAGGTAGACTTAAGGGGAGAGAATTAAGTACTTCAATGCCTTCCATGTGATTTAAATGGGACTTAGATGTCTAACTGTAGAAGTCATTTCCAATTAGGACGCACACTCCTAAGCCATCTAGGCACAATAGCAAAGTGAACCCTCATGAGTATAGTAGGGAAAAATCCCTTTGGCTTTCTGAAGGATAGACTAGATTTAACTAACTGCTTCTTCCTTGCTCTCTTAACTCTAAGCAAGTGCTCCTGTTTCTCCAAAGCTCTGTGTTACTCCAGGGAGTTCTCATACTCTCAAGAGCACAGTTTGCTGGTAAAACGGCAAAAGAAGCGGCAAGCCACATTTGGTGTTCGATCCCCAGAGGCCACACACAACCACAGGCCAACGGGAAGTGTGTCAGGGCCACAGACTGTTCCTTCTTCGAGTCACTGGAAGCCACAACAAAAGACAGCACCTGGAAAGCTGGCGCTCCCTGAAACCTTTCCCAGCAACTCTGCTCACTTTTTATTTTTTTTCTCTCTCTAAAAATACTAAGGTTTGTAGTTTTATTTTCAAAATGAAGTTCTTTCGAAAGCAGATGTTGACAGGACATCCTGCCTGCCACTCTGGCAGAATGGCCGGTTACGACGGCTCCGTGTCCCCTTCCCAGCCCTGCCAACAGACCTCATAGGTAACGTGGGACTTCCCCACTGTGGAATAGTGCTGGAAACATGTTCTTTGAAAGCCACAGTCCAAAGCATATGTCACAGGTGCAAACCCTGGCCCAAGACTAAAAATAAACAAATAAGTAATAAAAAACAGTCCCATGCAAAGGAGCTTGAAGGGACATTTCTATTTTATGTTCATTACCTGAACAAGTTTCTAAGTGAATTCTCCAGGGAGGCTACTTTTCTTCTGAAGCATGACCCACTGGCCATTGCTGGAAGCAAAAAGCATCAGTGCATGACAAAACTACTTGAATCACAAAACAGGTGACTGGTGAGGGCAGCAGAAGAGTCCTTGACATCTCCCAAGGAAGAACAACCTACCTGCCATTCATCCTCATCACTGTAGAGGGTGACAGGAATTTCCTGGGCGTTGTAGAAATGTTTTGCTCTCTCGGTAGTGACCACCTTCACCTCAAGCTAAACAAAAAAAGAAAGAAAAGCCAACAGTTACAAGTGAAAGACAACCCTCTATAGTTGGGTGGAGGAGGAAGGCTTGTGCTGTAAAGACTTGGAGAGTTGTGTGTGTTCTCAGAGGACCCTCCCCACTCTGCACAGTGCATAACTGCATCTTTTCTTAGCTGAAAGGTCAGGCCACAGCAGGTGCTTATGAAGATTCATTCTATTTCCACCCTGAAACAGCCAGGTGATTAGTCACTGTCTGCAAACATGTCCATGGGCAGTTCACAGCGAGGACAGCAACAAGGATAGACCAGGTCAGAACCAAGGTGCAGTTCAGCACAGAACTTAAGAGACGGCAAGAAGCAGCAAACCAAAACCCTGCAGAAGATGCCCTTCGATCGCTAAACACCCCTGCAAAAGGAGAGCATCTGGCCTTGGTGTGGCTCTTGGGGACAGCACAGAGGGCGGCCGCAGGGCACAGCACGTGCCGCTTCGCTCTTCCCATGCTCGGAGCCAAGGGAAAGCAGCGTGAACACCTAGAAATCTCATTATATTTTTACAATCACGTTAGTCTGACCTGCTCCTGAGGTAAAAGCACCAGAAGGAAATCTGGGGTAGTGTCTTCTATGTGTTGTCCATGTCAAGGAAAGATGTAGGAAAGAGGAAACTTCTGTACGGGTCCAGAGCACAGGGTATCTTTGCAGCCAAAACAGTAAAACAACAGCTTCCACATAGTGGAGTGGGATAAAGTATGGAAATGTTCTCTCTGCTATCTTGGATGTCTTTTGCCAACCCCTTATGCTCACAGATCAATGAACTGATCACAGTGGAAAAACAAAACAAAACAAAACAGTGCAACTTACTACAAGGCTCTTCTCACTCAAGAGGGGGCAAGGGAGAAATCGGCCTCACTGATAAATCCCTCCCCACTGATAAGCTGTGGCCTGAGGTACAAAAGTGACGAAGGAGTTGGCATGTGCTCAACCAGACTGCTCAAAACCTCCAGCCTCTGAGAAGCCATCTTCAATGACAGGGGTGGTTGTGACAAAAAAAAAGGTAACAAAACATGCTACCCTATCCCCAACACTACATAGTCTACTCTCAGGTTACTCCTAAGATGACAGCAGTGCTCATCACATGTATCCTACATAAGCAGAGTAATAGTCTGGAGCAGCAGAAACACTAGCCTTAAAATCACCTCAAAAATACACCTTAAAAGTTACGTCTTCTGAAATTTTCCCCAATTTCTTGCAGAAAGAGTACGAGAAAATCTAGCTGCACATAATACCAGCATTTGGCACCACATGCTTGGTTCTTTGACTCTTCTGGAAGTCCTACTCTTTTTCCAGGGACCCTGCCTGGATGTCAGAATCATATTTCCAGCTCTTTCCAGCATGAAAGTCATGTCCACAGCATATGAGCGTTATTTATGTATTAGCAAAATGCTGCTGGAGCCAACCAGCACCAGTGCCAGCTCTGCTCCCTGCTGTCCCAGAGGCTCCAATGAGGCAGTTAAATATTCCCTGCAAATGAAGTTTTTCTGTGGTGGGGTGAGCTCCTGGCTCCCTTGTACTGAGCAAGTCCTTCAAGTCCCTCCAGCTATGTTGGAAGGAGATCAGTGTTCTCAAGATCACTTTAGCCTACATAGTTTTTCCTTCTATTTATCTGGCACACCCTCTGTTTGCCTGTGGATATATCTCTGCTTATATAGTACAGTCAGTCTAGCCACCCTCAAACTCCTCTATTGAAGAGAGTTTAGACTGGTTAAGCGTTTTATTAAGACAGTTCTCCAGAATAAGCTTTATTTTTTGCAAAACTGCTTTCTTGTTTCCATGCATTTTTGCTGGCCTCTGCTGTCACAGCTACGTCACTTGGGGAAAGGGGACACATATGATTTTTTTTTTCCCATTTTTTTTCCCAGTTTTGACAGCAAAATCTTTAAACCCAGACCCCACCTCAGTAACAGCTGCTCCAGAAGAGATTACCTATCTCCTACATAAAATTGCACCTACAAGCTGAGGCAAACACGATCTAGCAGGACTGCAGCAAAATCACGCGTTAGGCAATTTAAAGTTTAGAAGTCCAGATGATGTCTTGAAGCTTCAAGAATAACAGGTTTCACCCAGAGATAGGTTTGTTGTTTTCCTCCTTTATGGCTAAATGATAACCTGCCAATCCATCAATCCATTTTTTGTTATTTTCCTGCCAGGTCCTTCAAAAATATTAGGCATCAGGAAGATATAGTAAGTTTAAGTGTCATGAGAATTACCCAGTAGTACTGATAATACAGCATGTTTTGTCTTCCCACAATGCAAGGGTAACAAACTGGGGAGGGGGAGAAACAAAAAAAAAAAACCCACAATTAGTATTAACTAGCATTAACTTCCTGGATCCCCAGAGAGTTTAAGTAGAAGGCATCAAGTTGCTGTCTTGACTTCTACCATCAACCTCCAGGATATGCTGAAGTTAACTGAGTGCAAAATTCACAGCACCAAATTGTTCACTGGGGATCACTTTAGCAGAGATATCAAATTAAACTAACTCCAAATTCAAGCCTCTGATGACATCTCCTGGGGTATCTGAAAAAATGTCAAAAACTTCAAATAAAAAACTTCACTCTACATCTGTTTTGCATCCAGTGACATTATTTTAGCATGTTCTATTGTGCCCATGAAGAAATTAATGCAATGGGTTTGTGCAGGATTTACCAAACTCAGTAGAAAAGTTACACTGACTTTGGCAGGCTTTAGAATCAGGCCTTGAAACCACGTCAGATTCCAGTAAATTTATTACACAGTAAATACTAGAAGCTCCTGCACTGACTGGATACTTGACTTTCACTTCTAATGCAATGAAAGCCTAAAGCAGTGGCCACAAAGCCTGCAATTGATGTCCCTACATCCATGAGCCTTCACATGGGATTTAGGATTAGTTTTCTGCAGTTTCTAAATACGAATTAAATACTCACAGAGAAGGAATGGGTTCAACCTAGATTCCTGTGGAGCAGATAATTTACCTGCTTCCTGTCAACTTCAAAAGAAGGGTGATCCAGGCACCACAGAAAGAAAAAATCTGAGAGGGTATGTGAAAAACTTGGCATGTCTTGGGGTTGAGATATGCACGAAGAGCCAGGAGACAGGACTACATGAAGATGCAGGTCCCACATGTGGAGGGAAAAGGCAGACAAAAAGACTGTCGAGGAGACGGGAGCTTTTGGCCGATGGATTATTCCAGCTGCCAACGCACTTTTTGTGCAGGAAACAGGAGGTTGTGAGTCCCAGGGTTGTGCCACAGCGCCGGGACAACATGGCGCAAGGGCCACGCGCCTTCCCGGCCTGGCTGACCCCCTGCACAGAGCCCCATGCGGTGGTCACCACCGGTGACGTTGTTATCTGGTGGAGGTGTCTGCCTCCCCACTGAACGTCAACCACATGGCTGCATCCTGTTGGGGGATGGTCCAATGGACCTTGGGGAGAGACACAACAGCACAAGAGCCCAGCACTAACTACGCTGGTGTCAGTGACAATTCAAAGATGACCAAGTCAATCATCTTACCCTATAAGTAGGGGGACAGCTCCAGAGCACAGGGAGCTCTCCTTCCGAGGCAGCAGGATGCACATCAGGATCTCCCCTGGAGCAGGAACGCATCCCAAGGATACTCCTCAAGACAGAGGGATCCCTGACCAGCTACAGAGCTGGGAACGTAGCATACAAAGCATTAGGAAGTTTTCCAAGTTTTACTAACTCATATCCAGGATTGATTGCGGGTATTTAAGTGAATGCTTCCCCCTCACACACACTTTCATTTCACTGCTCCAAAACAGATGCTGAATTTCTCAGATTTCTGCATTCTGCTCTGACTTTATTCTGAAGCAGAATTTAACCACACTTTCCTCCCTGCTTTTAGTCAGTAGTGGCCTCTGCTGGACACCTCTGTTACTCCAACAAGCTCTGTCAAAAAGGAGTATGGGACCAAATTCTACCAGAAATTAGAAACCTGCTAACACCAACTTTACAATATTTCCTCCAACACGAGATTTACTCACCCCGGGGATCTCCAGCAGCTGGGAGACGAGGAGCGGCACGCTGCCAGTCACTCCCACCAGGACATGGAATTTTTTCTGTGGCACGGATGAGCTCCTTTCCGAAGGAAACTGTGGGTCTGGAGGCAGTACAGGCTCCATGGTCCAATCAAAATCTACAAGCATGGAGAAGGAGGCAAACTCTACCAGGTGCCCTTCCGAATCGAGGGTAAGATCACCCCGGGGAAACTTATTTATTACTTAATTACTTATTTACTTCCTTTCTGACTATTCCAAAGAACTGCCTGGACTCCGTCTTCAGTCCTAAACACTATCTGAACCACAGGAATGTCAAGATCTTCTCATTAAGCGTGTGCAGGGTTCTGTGACAGGCACAACCAAATCAGATGAGATTGTATGTATAGAAACTAAGCCAGCACATGCAATGCATTTATCTGTGCCTCCTACCTTTGAGCTAGTAGACACAGTCCCAAGGGCATGGACTTCAGCCTGGCCTATGCAGGACACAGAGGAATTCACCTGAGTGCCAAACATTTAGCCCCAGTTTGCCAAGCTGTTAAGCATCAGCTGACCTTGAGCATGGAAGCGGTCCAACCCTCCTATTTATTTTTCTTTTATCTACACTTTTCTATACAATATTGGTAAGCAAAGTGTTAGAACTACTAAGCAGACGTCTTATTTCTTCCGGGAAAGCCAAGGGCCCTAAGAACAGATACAGTGTCACACGTTGAATATGGCACAGAATTTAACACACCACTCCTGCTGACCGCAGGGAAGGCAGGTGAGCCGCTTCCGAAATGTAAAAGCCCCAATTACTATAATAATAATAATAAAAAATCACCCACCTGCAGAACAGACCCAAATGTTTCTCTTTAATGAAATCTCACAATTGACAAACTGTAAATTCATTTTCTAAAGAAACTGAAAAACATATTTCTGGGGAAGACGTTACACTGGGATTCCATAAAGTTTGTGTCATTTCATGAATATCTTTGCTGTTTGGAGGGGATTACTGGAGGTGTTTTAGGCACAAAAGGGATGAAGAAAGAGACACTGACGCTGCCTTTATCTACACCTAATTAATTCATCACATTTTTCACCTCACTCGATAACCGTATGAATATAAACTGGGCAAAGGCGCCACATCAGAAACCCTGGGAAATAAGCCCTAACAGCTCTCTTACAGGTGCCTTTTAAAAAAAACTATTAGATTCTGCATTAAGCTGTGATACTCTAGGGAGCTCCTTTGTCTTGTTGAAATACAACTCTGACTGGAGGGAAAAAAAAAAAAACAACAGCGAGAAGGCAAGCAATTTATAAGCCTGCTTGGTTATTTTATTTTTAATTATAGCTCTGGAAACATTTTGGTTAAGGCGGGACACAGAGTGAAGGGATCCTGGGGATTTCCCGATTAGAAGTGTTTACAATTCAACAAGAGAAGTTACAAAGGGTATCATTTACATTTTTTCTTTTTTAAAAAAGAAAAGAAACGAAAAAAAAGAAAAAAGCGATGTTCACAGCACATGAGGCGCGGGGAGGGCACAACGCGTCAATACGGTAAAGCGTCATTACGGTGACGAGTCATTACGG